TCTTCCGGTAGCTAATCCTCCCCTAACTTTCCAGCACCGACTAAAATACCTACCTTAATCCGAGTTTATTCCGGGTTCTGGTGCCCTTACCATGGAGAGGCCTGGCTGAGTGCAAGCCTCCTAGAAGGCCCGCCTTAGACTTGGATATGCTTGCAGCCATGGGGCAGGGAGCGCACAGAGAGGCTTCCAGGGAGCAGGATCCCTGATGCCTGGCTGCTCCGTGAGAACACACTGTCGACTCTTCCGCTGAGTCAGGAACCAGCACCTGGTACTTCCTCCTGAGCTGGCTGCCCCAAGCGGAAGGACCCTGGGGTTTCCTCCCAAGGGCCCCCACTGCCTCCCTAACGAAGTAATACTGAAATAATGCCCTTTCAGAATTGCAGAACGCTGACCTCCGATTGCCCAAGTTGGAAGATAGCTGCTCCTATGTTTTGGCACCCTCCAAAATGATGAGCAATTCATTCATTCAACAAATATTTATTGAGTGCCCGTGACTTGCCAGGCACTGTTCCAGATGGTGAAAACAAAGACAAAACATCCCTGCTCTCAAGGAGCTCACATTCTCTCGGGGAGAGACAAGCAACATAGACAATCAGTCAGCAAAAAATATATATATACTGGATGGTGACAAGTGCCACAGATAAAGGTAAGTCAGAAAGAACAGGGTCTTCCTTACGGAGAAGGGGACACTTGGGTAAAGACCTGAAGGGGGTGATGGAGGGAGGCACAAGGATATCTGGGGGAAGAGCATTCCAGCAAAGGGCATGGTGTGTGCAAAGGCCCTGAGGCAGGAGAGTGCCTCACATGTTCAGGAACAGCCAGGAGGGCAGGAGGGCAGTGGGGCTAAAGGGAGGTGCAATGGGGGAGAACAGTAGAGACAGGGATGGGGGCCCTGGGGTGAGGGATGATTGACCATGTGAGGCCTTGAGCTTGCTATGATGACCTTGGTTTTTACTCCCAATGAGAGAGGCATCACTGCAGGCTCTGAGCAGATAAGTGATGTGCTATGACTTAAATGTTAATTAACAGGATCACTGTGGCTGCTGCGTAGAGAATAGACCACTGGGCGTGAACCCCTACTATGGCAGTGGCTGTGGAAGGAGTGGTTGGATTCTGGCTGTCTTCTGAAGGTGATAGACACGAGGCACTGCTTCTGGCCCTGTGCACCATTTTCTTTCTTTCTTTCTTTTTTCTTTTTTTTTTTTTTTTTGAGACAGAGTCTTGCCCTGTCACCCAGGCTGGAGTGCAATGGTGCAATCTTGGCTCACTGCAACCTCCACCTCCTGGGTTCAAGCGATTCTCCTCCCTCAGCCTCCCGAGTAGCTGGGATTATAGACATCTGCCACTATGCCCGGCTAATTTTTGTATTTTTAGTAGAGGTGGGGTTTCGCCTGTAATCCCAGCACTTTGGGAGGCTGAGGCGGGCAGATCACCTGAGGTCAGGAGTTCGAGACCAACCTGATTTTTTTTTTTTTTAAGATGGAGTCTTGCTCTGTTGGCCAGGCTGGAATGCAGTAGTGCAATCTTGGCTCACTACAACCTCTGCCTCCCGTGCTCAAGCAATTCTCACACCTTGGCCTCCTGAGTAGCTGGGACTACGAGCACCCACCACCATGCCCAGTTAATTTTTGTATTTTTAGTAGAGACAGGGTTTCACCACGTTGGACAGGCTGGTCTTGAACTCCTCCTGCCTCGCCTCCCAAAGTGCTGGGATTGCAGGCGTGAGCCACTGCGCCTGGCCCCTCTATGCCCTTTTCTATCAGCCTCACAATCACCCCATGAAGTAGGGCCTTTCTCCCCTTTACACAGATAAGGAAACTGAGCTTCAGAAAGCCCATAAGTGGGAGATTCAACCCAGGCTTATCAAGACCAAAGCCAAGTTCCTCCCACTCTACTGCACCACCTGCCTGGTCAGGATTCCACAGACCCCAAGAGAGGGGAACAAAGTCAAGATACTTACCAGCTGAGAACTTCATGCTAATTTGGAATCGTCCACAAATTGTTATCTTCACATGTTTTCTCTTCATGTTAAAGCTCAAATGACACATTGATGTTAAGTGTTTTTATTTTTATTTATATAGTTTCCATTTTTAATCAATATTTTTATTTTAAATTGCATCCAAAATCATCAGTGAAGGGAGAGAACTACAAGGAGAAGGGAGGGTGGGGGAGGCATAATCATTGCAAGATGTGAGCTGGGGTATCTTGTTTCTTACCAGAATCATCCTTCAGCACTGCAGTGGGCCAGGTCCTGGGCTAGGGAACTGTTGGGCAGGCAGGGATGAATCTGCCCGAGTCCGTGCCCAGAAGGACCTCTCAGCAGGTGAGAAGAGAGGGGACATTTCCAGGCAGCACATGAGAGGAGCCATATCCAGGGTGCAGCTGTCTGGGAATGATCTGGGTGACTAAGCAAGGAGGACCAGCGCATACAGGAGGAAGCGTTGCCCTAAATCAAATCCCAGGAAAGGTCCCACGATGACAGAAGGGATCGTCGTGGAGCTGAGGCAGAAGTACTCTGAAGCCCAAGCTGGCAGGTCTTCCAGCAGGCAGTGCGGCTGCCTTTTGCCAGCACTATAGGAGCGGTGGGAGAGGGCTTCTCAAAAGGGAAGGAGAAAAGGTCATGGGTTCTCACTCGGAGCTACTGCTGGGGGCTGATGATTAAAATGCAGTGGGGCATGCAATGGCTTTAATTTACAGAGCCCCCGGAGCCTGGGTGGATCTGGAGCTGCATCTGCATGGGGGCGGGAGTGGGGACCCCTCTCCAGAGGTTGAAGTGTGGCTTCTGAAACGTCATTTGTCACTCGACAGCAGCCCAAGACCCAGTCTCTTCAAGCGAGTTGCAAAGAGGGAAGGAAGGAGAGAAGGAAAGAAAGAGGGAGAGAAAAAAGGGACAAGGATGAGGAATGGAAAGAAGAAAAGAATTTGGAAAGGAGATGAGATGAGGAAAGAGTGAGAGGAGGGATAAATAAGTCCAAAGGGCAAAGTGTGTCCTCCTTCAGGGACACCAGGGTCCAGTCCTGTCAGAGGCAGCACCCTGGGAAACCCCCGAGCAAAGCTTCCCTTCAAGCAGAGGAAAGGAACATGGGAGTCCAGGAGACCTCAGCCACAGCGCAAAGACGGAAGTGATGACCTGGAGCCACTGCAGACACAGGGAAGATTCCATCCTGCTCAACCTGAGACAGCCACGCCTGCATCCCAAAGTGGATACCAATACCCTCACTAGATGTACACACTGCAAAATACACCAACCTACAGACACAGCTGCAGAGACACTCACAACATGCATGGGCAGATTTACACACAGGTACAGGACACAAAGAGGCACGGGAAAGAACAAACATGCTCATAGAGGTAGATGACACTTGCACAGATGCTAACAGAAAGCATGGACTCATGTCTGCAGATACTGACAGAGGTCATCAGACACACACCAGTGTGGACCTACCTGCGTGGACAGTGTACAAGCAGGCATGTGCAGATGCAGGCAGAAATGCACAGACACACACGGATACTGACAGATGTATGCATGCAAGAAGTTCGCTTATACACAGATGTGTAGGCTCACACTGACAGATACACCTTGATACACAGATGTGCACAACTACTCTGGGTGCACCTGCTCTTGCACTAATAGACATGCACCCACATTTATAAGAACACGCGCACCCAGCATACCCTCAGACACATACATGCACACAAAGACAAGCTCGGAGACACCGGCCGACATGCTCAGGCACGCCAGCAACCAGGCAGACACTCATGCTGTGGGCTCTGTTTTGAGCTTAGGCCCTGGGTCTCAGCTTCCCTGAGTAGCTGTCCTCAAGCCAGGCCCTCTCCTGCCCCACTCCTGCCAGCTGTCCAGTTTTGGCGAGTTCTCTGGCCAGGCCCACCAGGCCCACCCACCAACCCTTGGTCAGATCCGCCCACCAACACTTGGTCTGCCCATTGGCCCTGTCCCAGGCCCCAGGCTCCAGGATAGCAATTGCTCCATTCTACCAGGTGCCAACTCAGCCAAATTTCACACCCAGAAGTGGAGCCAGGCCAACAGGGCTTGTTGCAGCCCGCGTGGGGCATCAGTACGGGGGTGGTGTGAGGGAGCCAGGATCCTGTAGTGGCACAGAGAGAAGCAGCCCCAGCTGCCGTGCAGGCCTGCCTGGCGATGCTGCCAGCTTCTTCTCCAGGTCATCCACCCTCTCCAAGCCTCAAGCTCCTCACCTGTGAAATGGGACAATATACCTGCCCTACTGACATGCCAATTAAATGGACATCCCCTCCCAGATGACAAAGAGTTTTTGCCTAAGTTTCCCTTGCCTCATCTTTACAATAACTCTAAGACAAAGGTTTTATTTTCCCTGCTTTATACTAGGAAGCTGAGCTAAGGAAGGATAAGTAACTTAATCAAGGGAGCAGACAGGACTGGAATCCAGGTTCCTGCTCCAAATTCCGTATCTTTCATGGTAGGTAAGTATGCAGCACATGACCTCCCAGAATCCAAACACTTGCCCATGGGAAATGTCACTAAGAGCTCTTTTCTCTTTTCTGGTCAGTTTAGACTTGGCCTCTGAATCCTTCTCAACACACCACTCCGAGCACCATTCATAATTGGCCAGAGTTGGCATGTGGAATGAAACCTACTGCCATCCTGTCCCTACACTGAATTCATCTAATTCAGAGGGTTGATGGGATGATTAAATGAGATCAAGGGCAGAAAGTACTTTGTAAGATTACAAGTGATGTGCCTATCAGACAAATTGTAGTACAGTTTTCTTTTCTTTTTTTTCCAAGACGGAGTTTTGCTCTTTTGCCCAGGTTGGAATGAAGTGGTGTGATCTCGGCTCACTGCCGCCTCCACCCCCCGGTTCAAATGATTCTCCTGCCTCAGCCTCCTGAGTAGCTAGGATTATACGTGCCCACCACCATGCCCAGCTAATTTTTGTATTTTTAGTAGAGACAGGGTTATGCCATGTTGGCCAGGCTGGTCTCGAACTCCTGACCTCCAGTGATCCACCTGCCTCAGCCTCCCAGAGTGCTAGGATTACAGGTGTGAGCCACCACGCCCGGCCTGTAGTACAGTTTTCAAAGGCTATTTACATCCAAGTTCTCCCAAGTCTCCCTATGCTGGGGTGGATGGTTAGGGACAAGATAGTCACTGTCATTGCTCCATTTCACAGAGGAACAGACTGAGACTCAGGCAAGTGAGTCCGGGGTCACATGGATAGGTCAGAGTTAAGACGGAGGCCCATGCACTGACTTCTGTTTCAATGCTCTTCACAGTCAGGGCCCCAGCCAGACAGGATGCCAGAGTATGTGGGCATTTGGGAGTCAGTGCTGGGAAGGGAGCAGGAAGGCCCAGTCTTCTCCCAGGAGAAAGGGACAGACCCTACAACTAATTGGTTCAGAGTGCTTCTTTTGACCCTAATTAGTTATTTGTCATGTCTCCATTTGCATACCAGAAAAGATGCAAATTTGCATATTTGTAAATGAGGCCGGGCCTAGATGTGGGTTCTGGAAGAGCTTGGCAGTTGCTGGCAGGCAGGGAGGCAGCTGGCTCTTGCCACTGAAGCATGGGCCGCCGAGGAAAGAGGAGATTTGGGAGACAGCTCCTTGGCTCAGGCCTGCAAGGTGCTCTCAAAGGGGGTCAGGCAAGATGGCCCACCTCGCTCCCTCCCCCAGGGCTGAGGGGTGGGCAGGGAGAATGGGTGAGCCTAATGCTGCTATTTTGATTAGATGAAACAAGGAGGGGGGGAATATAAAGTAATTTCAGGACGCTCTGTGCTGGGAAACCTTCTGTTCACGTCCTTGGATAGAATCTGTAACACTTGCAAAGGGGGAAACGTCCCCCTCCACCTTCCTGGAGAGGAAAAGGTTTGGGAGGAAATGGAGGTCAGGAAAACACACCCTAACACACACACACACACATGCACACGCACATTCTCTCTCTCTCTCCTCCAGACTCTCATTTTACACACACCTACAATTCACTTAATATACATACACAGTCGCACACACACGTCTGGGCCCCCCAGAAACACCCTTATTTACACACGATACCCCCAGCCCCCCCAGAGGTACACACGCAACGCTAACTGGAGAGGCACATTCGCACATATGCAAGCATTCCCAGACTTCCTGCGACACACACATTCACGCCCTTACACATACAGACACACACTCAGACACTTGAACATAGATGTAGGCACACAGACTCACTTAAGCTGTGCGTAAATATTTACATACACACACACAAGACGTGCTCACGCAAGCACATCCTCGCTAAGACCACATTTCCTGGCAAATCCTGGTAATTCTGACCCCTCTGCCAGAGTTCTGGGTGCCTCTTTGGGAAGAGACAAAGGAAGCTAGGGACCTGTCCTTCCTAGAAAGGGAGTAATGTGGCCCCAAGGAATTGGACCCCAAATAAGGACTGTTTCTCTCCCTGGAAAGCCAATGACTAGCAAATGCTCCAGTGCCTTCTGGGCTTCCACCTAGAGCTTGGAGCAGGGTCTGGGTGGGCCTTGACAAACGGGAGAGCAGAGGGGGAGAAGCAGTAACAGATGTATCGGTGGGTCCCGGGTCATGAATTGGGCAGGAAAACATCATTGCCTGAGAATTTCCATGTTGACCTCAGAGGCCAGTGTGGAATGGGGTGGCGTGAGCTGCTGTACCTGCAGCCCTGAGGGCCCCAAGAGGCCAAGCTCCAAGAAGCTCCAGACTCCCGAAGCTTCCCAGGATCTAGGGCCCAGGGGCTGGACCCCGGAGCTTAGAGGCACAGGGTCAGGACCAAACTCCTCAACCACTGTTCCCATTCCCCAGCACCTCCTCCCCAGTGCCTGCATCTCAAAAGGCAAGCTAAATGGCTCTGTATTTGTAAATTAAATATAGCTGCACTTCAGCTTTCCAAAGAGCTGGGAAGGAGAGAAGGAGAAAGAAAAAGAGAGAGAGGAAGAGAAGAAAAGCTGCCGCCCTCAGGAAAGTCTGGCTGCTACAGATTGCCTGAGTCATGAATATTCATCTGGCGAATGAGGAGAGCGGGAGTTTGCATAACAGCTCCACCCACCCAACTGAAAGAAATGTCACCGCCTTTGCCAATAAAGTGCCAAAGGAAGCCGGTGGAGGCTGCCAGCCAGACGGTGCCAAACTGCTGACTTCCACTCTAAGGCGTGGAGAAAGCACATTGTTTCCGGCCCAAGGAGCCGCCACTTGGGGCTGGGGGAATGAAGCTGGCTTCTGGGAGAGAACCAAGAGGAAAAGTTTCACTTGCCACCCACAGGAAGCCTGGTGGGCAGAGCGCTTAGGCCACAGCCCTCCCAGGGCCCCTCCGAAGACAGGCTCAAAACTGACTCTTCCAGGGCACCCACCCTGGCCAACCACCAAGGACCCAGGTTCCAGGCTGGCTCCAGCTGCAAAGAAACCGCAAGAGGATCCTCATGATTTCCAGGTGGTTACTAAGGACCAGGAAGGAAGGGGACAAACCAGATGTCACTTTGGGGCCTGGAAGTTTACCTTGGCCCCATTTTGCAGAAGGGATCACCAACTGCAGGGTCATGCACACTTCCAAGGCCCAATCCTACTATGTCTTATTCCAAGACATCTTCCCAGATCCCCTGTCACCAAGACAGAGTCAGTCTCTGTGTCCTCTGTACACCCCAGTCCGATAGCTTCCTTTGATCCCAGCCCTTTCTGGTCCGTGACTGCTTCCTCCCCTGGCCTGTGAGCTTAGAGAGTAGGCTCTTCCTGATTGATCGGCCTCAGTGCCCCAGCCCAGCATGAGATTCAGAGAAAGCATCTTGAGCAATTTGTTGAGCAGAGTCGATTCTTCCATGCATTCCCTTCCCCATGCCTGTACCTGGCTCTGGATCTGTCCTTTCTTGGAATCGTGCTTGTCAAGTCCCTGGGAGGACAGGCATTCCATCCCGGCAGCTCAGTTTGGGCCCATTGAGATCAGGACTGAAGCCGAGCAGCTGGCCTCCCATCCTCAGCACCCCACTCCCCATGAAGAGCACAGACAGGCTCCAGCTCCCGCGGCACCCCATCCTCATGGCGGCACCCATTAGGTGGTGTTACAAATGCGCCTGCCTGCCCGCCAGCCTCCCGCAGCTGGCTCCCTCCAGTAATTACCTAAATGAATGGGAGAAGCAGAGCTGAAGAGAAGACGTTCTCTTAGTACAGAAAAGCAATTAGGGCTGTGGGCGTCTCCAGCTGCTGCTCCTGTTATGTAAAGTTTGGGATGTGTATTTGGGACTTAATGAGGATATTCGTGTGTTCACATCTTACCTTCGCAGACTGCTCATTTCAAGCATCCCAAGTCCGCCTGGGTGCCGTACACAGCAATACAAGCTAGGCTCCAGGCTCTGAGGGAGGAGTACCACTGCAGGGCAGCCAAGGAGCCCCTCTCCCAGGACTCATGGAACCACAGAAATCTATGATGACAACCCCCTAGAACCTGGCTTCCTTCTGCAGGAGTCCTGCTAAGTCCACATTCTGCTTGAGGCCTCTGGGAACTCGAATTCCTTCACCACCTCTTTCATGGGTTAAACATCTGCAATTGCTTTCAAAGTTCTTCCTTGAACTGAGCCAAAATTTGCCTCTTGGTAACATTCCTACGTTTGCCCAAACAATTCCGTATGTCTGGGACAACACAGGATGCGTTGCTCTCTCTGCCCCAGGTCAGTCGCTAGTCCTGCAGGAGGTAAATCGATAAGGAACTGAAAAAGCTTCTGTAGTTTAATAAGCTTGAGAAAATTCTACATTAAACAAGTTTCTTTGCTGCAGGACTTCTCAGAGCCTTTACTGTACTCATGTGCAGTGAGCTGTGGGTGCTGTATTTCATGAACACATCTGCTCATAGAACCCTTTTCTGTGAAACAACCTCAAGAAACTAAGATTCCAAGGAGAATGTTTTTGAAAGCACTGCTTCGGCAGGTTAAAAGCAAACATCTAATTCCTTGGCCTGAGCTCCTTCGAGCATTTCTCCTAGATGGGCATGATGTCCAGCCTCCCTTGATCCTGGCCATTTTCTGTGGGTGAGCTCTGCCCATGTGTCTGCCTCTCTCCACTGCTCCAGAGATGCTCTGGCCACTGAGAGTCCAAAAGAGCATTTATCTCCACTATCCAGAACCCCATGCTCCCACTGATGCAATCAAAACACCATTGGAGGCCCAGCAGCCGAATCACACTGAATATGTTCCTTAAAAGTCTTCCCAACAAGCCACTACTGAGCCACAACTCCTTGTTCTGCTCCCGGGCACCCACAGGCAGACCCCTCCATGCTCAGTGTTCCAGACAACAGAGTGCCCATGATGCCTTCTCTGGACAGCCGTGGGCCGTGGTGAGTCCTCAAATATCTGCACACCAACTGGTAGTTCACACACAGCCAACTGTGAACCATGAGCCATGCTTTTTACAGCATCACAAAAAGGACAAACTTGTTCTCTTGTTCTCGTGCTTGGTCAACTCAGACTCACTGGCAGAGTGCTCCACTCATCCAGGCTCTGGCCCGGAAGCCTCCCCAGACTGAGCTCACCATCCATGCCTGCATGGATGGGATGTGCTGGCTCCAACAGGCCTCGGCTTTCCTGCTCCTTCCATCGCCCCTTCCATGTGTTTCTTCTCATCATCCTGCAAGTATGTGTTCAAGCCCAGGCATGGAAAATAGGTTCATCTCAGCAGCCAACTCCAAGAACCTGGTAGTGGCTCCCTGAGCTGGCTATTGGGAGGAAGATTTTATGGCTTCATCTGGGCTCGGCAGAATGACTAGTGATGCCTGCCAGGGCTGGGGAGTGAGCAGGGAGGCACACGAGCCAGTTATTGACATCTCTAATCAAGGCTCAGTCCCTTTCCCTTAAATCAGCTCCCCCAAGCTAAAATCCGCCTTTCTCCCACAACAAACTCCCTAACTCCCACACACGACAATGCACAGCCTCATTCCTCCACTGAAACTGCTCTGTCCAAGGTCATCAACAAGCTCCTATTTGTCACGTCTTGTGCCCTTTCCCCAGCCTCCATGCCTTTGCATCATTAGATATGGTTGACCTTTCCCTAGAAATTCGCCCCCACACCCATGGAATCCTGAGACACTCCATGCTCCTGTAGCTCCCCGCCTTCCTGACCACGCATCCTATTTCTTCACCCATCTTGTCACCATGGCTGTGTTCCAGGCTCAGTTTCCAGCCCTCTCCTGCTCCTGCCAATGCACTCTCTCCCTCTGAGATTTCATCCCTAGTTCTGTCCTTGGGGAAAAGCCCACCCTGGCCCTCCCGTTCTAAGAGGCAGCCGTACTGCCCACCAGCCACTGACACTGAACAAAGCCCTGAAAACCCAGGGCCTCCTTCTTCCTCCGGCATCAACTCCTGCTCTGGGTTTGCCATAATGCATGAGCCTTCTGGGCACCAAGGGGCAAATTTCTGGCTTATGTCTTGACTCCTTATCCACATCCGTTAAATGACCACGTGCTGATTCCTCCTATTTGGTATCTACCTTATTTCCAAAATGCTACAAATAGAATTATTATTTGTTCTGATTTAAAAACATGATATATCTTCATTATAAAAAAACAAATCTAACCAATACTTAAAAGTACAAAAAAGAAAGTAAAAATCCTACCTCCCAGATATAACCACTCCAAGAATTTTGGTGAACAGCCTTCCAGACATATCTCTATGCATATATACACATAGAGATCTATGTATATAATTTTATAGACGAGGAATTGTATTATACATACTGTTCTCGCTGACACCTGCTTTTCTCTCTCAACAATATGTCCTAGACATCTTTCTATGTCAATAAATAGAGCTCTACAAAATTATTTTAATTACTTCATAGTATTCCATTATATGTATGTATCATACTTTATTTAACTGGGTCTCTACCGATGATCATTTAGGATGTTGTGAGAATTTTGTTCTCATAAACAATGTTGTGATAAATATCCTTGTGCATATTCTCTTTGCTCATTTTTGCAACAACTGCCTTAGAATAAAATTCAATAAATGAGATGGCTGCAATTAAGGGTATACTATTTCTAATTTTGCCACTCTGTCCTTCAGAAAGCTTACAACAACAAAATTCTCATCAACCGTGCCCACATATCAGTCCAGACCCTCATCAAGCCTGGGTTTTGTCAGCGTTAATGTTTGGCCAGATCAACAGAAGGCAAATGATGCTTGTTTCTATTGGCATTGCTAAGATTATAGGGAGGGGAAAATAAATGTCTTTTTGTTTTTTCAGGCATTTGTGGTTATTTTCTTTGTGAATTGCCTGTTCATGTCCTTTGCCCATTTGTCTAATGAGATATTTATATTTTTCTTAGTGATTTGTAAGAGCTCTTTGTACAATAGAAATAAGATTAAACTTTTGTCATATGTACACACACACACCACTCTTCTAAAATTTTCTTGGAATGTTCTTTAAGGTACTTAAATGTTTAATTTTCATATAGTCAAATTTATCAGTCTTTTCTTTTATGATTTCAAATATCATGTCATACTTAGAAGAACCTTCCCCATCTTAAGATGATCAAAATATGCACTCATATTTACACCACGTGGTCTTCATTGCTTGAGCTTATTAGATCAAGTCAGAGAGTTCTTACCCCAATAAGGAGTGTTGCTATGGCTAGCCCATTATCCCAACACCATTTATAAAATAGCCCATATTTTCCCAACTCAATTAAAATGCTATTTTATCATATAAAAATACCTTAAGGTTGGGTGCAATAGCTCATGCCTATAATCCCAGCACATTGGGAGGCCAAGGTGGCAGATCACTTGAGCCCAGGAGTTCAAGACCAACCTGGGCAACATGGTAAAACCCCATCTCTACAAAAAAATCCAAAAAATTAGCTGGGTGTGGTAGCGTGTGCCTGTAGTCCCAGCTAATCAGGAGGCTGAGGTGGGAGGATCACTGGAGCCTGAAAAGTCGAGGCTGCAGTGAGCCAAGATCACACTACTGACTCCAGCCTAGGCAACAAAGTGATACTCTGTTCCAAAAACAAACAAAAATTCCCTTAAATATCTGGGCCCATTTCTAGACTCTATTTTGTCCTAGCGATCTGTCTGTCTATTCCTACATAAGAATTTTAATTATATTATGCCTTTATAAAACATTTTAATATCTGATAGAGTAAATATTCATCATTTTCCTTTTTTGGAATTTTCCTTATTCTCATTTGGTATTCTTCCAGATTAGCTTCATAATTTTTTTGTCAAAACAAATTCTAATCCTGTTGGGATCTTGACTGGATTATCTTAATTTCATACATTTGTTTTGGAGAATTGACATCCTTAAAGTATTAAATCTTTCTACTCAAGAGCTAGGTATATACCATATTTATTAAAACTCAGAAGAGTTTTCTTCATGTAATTCACATTTTTTGGTAAAGTTTATTTCTGGGTATTTTGTGTTTGTGTTTTACAGTATGGATGGAGCTTTTATTTTACCTTCTAGATAGTCATTTTATAAATAGAAAAGCTGTTAGTTTGTGTAAATTTTTTTGTTACTGGCCATTTTACTAAACTCTATTTTTTCTGATTGTTTTGCAGAATATTGTCTTGAGTTTTCCAGATAAATAATCATCTTATCTGCAAACTATGATTATTTGCCCCTGTCTCCCAACATTTATACTTTCTGTTTCATCTTCTTATCTAATTGCAATGCCTAGCCCTTTTGGAAAAGTGTTTTTTAAATGTTGATAACAATGGTTATCCTTATCTGGTTTCTGACTTTAATGACAAAACATCTAGAACTTCACCAACCTAATATCTCTTGTTTCATGCTCTCCATCTCCGTAGCCACTATCTTATCTAGCCCATCCTAATTTGTCAACTGTGTTACCATAAATGTGGTGAATAAGGATACAGGGTTTGAAGTCAGATGACCCGTGTTCAAGTCCTGCCTCCACCATTTGCTGATTATATGATCTAGTCAAGTTACCCAAGATTTTGGAAACTCAGCTTTAAAAAAAAAAAAAAGGGGGGGTGGGGGAGGCCCTTTTAAGGATTAAGTGAGATAATACATGAACTATGTGTAGCATCCATAAATGATAATTTTTAAAGTCTCAGCCCCCAATTTCTCTTTCTAATCCTACACACACACACACACATATATATATCCCACTCTTACGTTGATCTTCCCAAAATATCACTGTGTTCACATCACTTATCCTTTCCTTTCTTCTGCTCACAAATCTGAAGCTACACCCCATTGCCTACAAAATCAAGCCCAAATTCTTAATCTTGCATTTGAGTCCTTCCATTATTCAACCCCAAACTTCCTTCTAGTCTCATTTCCTATAGGCCTCAGCCACCCTCACCCCACAACGCACCCCGACCCACCCTTTACTCCCGCCTACAGGGTCTCCTCATTGGCTGCCTAACACCAAGTAGGCTCTCAGCTCCCGACTCAGATCCCTCCATCACCTCCTGTATCAGTTTTTATGTTGCAAGTAACACAAAAATGAAATCCAAACTGGCTTAATAAAGCAGATTGATTACTTCATGCAATATTCCAGATGCAACAGACATCAGGCACAGTTTGACTGGGGCTGGGACTCCATTTTTCTGTGATTTTCCAGGTTCTTCCCACCTCCATATGTTGGCTACATTCTCAGGTTAGTGTTCCTAGTCACCAGATGCCTGTCAGAAACTAGGCCCACATGTTTCCTCATTCAGATCCAGATACAAAGAGATTAGATGTGTTTCCCCAGTCAACTCACCAAAACCCTGAGTTTCTGTCTGATGGGGCCAATCTGAATCAATCCCAGTGACCAGGAGAATGTATGTATGATTGGTTTGGAACCAGCCAATGTGCCAAGGTCAGAGAAGGGGGCATTGTCTGAATTGGCCAAACCAATCAGGACCCACCTCAGAGACACACACAGTGATGGAGACAGACGTGGTGTCGACAACCTCACTTGTACTACAACCTCTTCCACTTCTCTTCCCTGAGGAAGGCCCAAGTCAAGCCCCAGACCTCTGGCAATATGCCCCTCCGTTTGGCTCCTAGAGCTCTTACTCTGCTTGACACACGGTAACCACTGCCATATATAATTTATTTATGTAGTCATTTGTCTCATCTTTCCAATTAGTTATCACAGAACTGATTGAAGCCTACAAAGCACTTTCCACAAGCTAGCCCTTTTGACCTTCACCACAGTCCTGTGAGACTCAGAGGGGTTAAGTGACTTGCCCTATGTCACACAGCCAGAAACAACATTGTCCCAGAGGCCTCTGCAGCAATTTCATACACACACACACACACACACACACACACACACCCCACAATCCCTCCTCTAACCTGCAACATTGGTCTGACCTGAAGATGCAGAAACCCCCCCCTGGAACCACCTCCTTTTTCCACTTCACCTCAATTTCTAGAGCTCTTAGTCTTCCTCCAAAAAGTACAGGGAAAGTTTTCTTGCCAGACAGCAGTTTCTAAGATTTGTGTGACAAGGCCAGGTAAAATTCAAATGACTCTGGGTGATTTAATCTGCTTGGGGCTGGGGTGGTAAATCAGGGCAGCCCAGGCCGCCGCAGCCGCCCCAGAAACGCACGAGCCGAGCTGATGATAGGAGTCGATCTGCAGATCTGCAGGTGGGGGCCCTGGAAGCATGAACTGTGGCCAGGGGAGTTCCCCTCCACCGCACTCGGAATACATTTGGAAGGTCCTATGGCCCACAGCCTCTCTCGACCTACATGTTCCACCAGGAACCATCCTTCCCAAGGCTGCAGCCCCAGTTCCTCCCTCTCCCACCCCCAACCCCATCGTCAGAGCTGTTTCCCAAGTCCACACTGGACTTTTCAGGGGAAGGAAGCCAGCATGGGTCAAGCTCTCACTGAAACTGCTGCCTCAATGCCAGGCCCTCGTGTACCCATTACCTCATTTTATCTTTACAACAACTTAATGAGGGAGGCATGCCCATCCCCAGTTTACAGGTGACTTAATTGAGGTTCAGAGTGATTAAATTTCTCGCCCAGGGTCATTATGCAGCTAGTAGGAGGCAAAGCCAAGTTTCAAATTTAGTCTCATGAGACTCCAAAATCCCCATCCTTTTGACTCTACCCCACTATGGCGGCCAAGAGGAGTAAGAAAATGGCAGCTTCACTTGGGACCATGTTGTTTGAGAAAAGAGAGGAGCAGGCCCTTGTGGAAGGGAAGTTGTTATTGTGAGCAGATGAAGCAACAGTTTTCCCACAGAGAGGAAACATCAAAGGAAAAGGTAGTCACACTTATTTATGTGTGTATATCTGGGTACCATGTGCCAGGTGCTCTATGTCCATCATCCAAACCATAACTCTATATGCAATAAATATTTACTGTTAGCTGGTAAATATTAACCAACCAGCTTTCTGAAAGAAAAAAAGGAGTCCTGATTTGTAGCATTTGCCAATTTCTATGGTGTAAATACGCCCACGATGGTCAATTTCAAACTACCAATGGGATGTCAATGCATGCAGAATTGGGAAAAGATGCCCTCGTTTGGTTCTGTTAGCCAGTAGGAAACCCCTCCAGCACTCTACTGTCTGTAAAAGAGGTGTTGTTAGGCCGGGTGTGGTGGCTCATGCCTGTAATCCCAGCACTTTGGGAGGCTGAGGTGGGCAGATCACTTGAGGCCAGGAGTTTGACACCAGCCTGGCCAACATGATGAAATCCTGTCTCTATTAAAAATACAAAAAAAAAAAAAAGCTGGGTGTGGTGGCACATGCCTGTAATCCCAGCTACTCTAGAGGCTGAGGCAGGAGAATCACTTGAACCCAGAGGTGGAGGTTGCAGTGAGCCAAGATGGCACCACTACACTCCAGCCTGGGGACAAAGCAAAACTCCATCTCAAAAAAACAAAAACAAAAACAAAAGGTGTCAGTAAACCCACCTAACAAATGAGATCATACAAAAGGTACTTGGGCTGAAATCCAGGCCTTTATAATTTTCTAAAGTCCACATTCCCTCCATAGCTCCATGTTCCCAGAAACAAAGATGATGCACGGAACCACAATCACTGATCTCTAATCTCTGAAGGAGAGTAGACGCCAGTGAAGTCCTGAAGGGCAGAAGAAGGCCAATGGGTAAAAGCTCAGCAGCTCAATATTCAATGTACAGAAGAGCTTTCTGAATGCCCCTCTAGGCTGACAGCTACAGAAAAGCAGTATCCAGGCATGGCTGGCACATAGTAAGTGCTCAGTAAATAATTAATGAATGAATGAGACATTATACACTGTTCCATTGATACCTCAGACTCACCAAATCTAAAACTCAGCTCATCTTTGTTCCCAAAAAATCCCTCTCTCCTCCTCTGTGTCCTGTCTCAGTGAATATCACCGAGCCAGAACCTGAGAGTCCTCGTCTCTTCACCTTCCCCACTCCCCATATCCAGTCAATCAACAAGTCCTATCTATTCCACTTCCCAAATACCTTGTGAACAGGTGCTATCCTCAGCATCCCCACTCTGCCACCCTGACAGACCACCACCATCTCCTGCTGAACTGACACACAGCTTCCTGACCTGTCTTGTCAGCATGTATCCTTGGCCTGTATCTGCTCCCAGCCCCTGTCAAATCCAAGATCAACAAAGCTGCCAAAGTGATCTTTCAAAATTGTACCTCTGAGCATGTCACTCCCACAGCTTCAATGAGTCCCCATTACCCAAAGGATGGAATCAAATCCCCTTGGTCCTCCCAAGGTCTGATCCCATCTCCCTCTCCTAACTGATGACTTGCCTCCTCCCACACCCCACATTGGTCTTTTGTGGGTTGTTTTTGTTTTTGTTTTTGTTTTTGAGACAGGGTCTCACTCTGTCACCCAGGCTGGAGTGCAGTGGTGCCATCTTGGCTCACTGCAACCTCTGCCTCCCAGGTTCAAGTGATTCTTCTGCCTCAGCCTCCCAAGTAGCTGGGATTATAGGTGTGCGCCACTACACCCGGCTAAATTTTGCATTTTTACAGAATACGTGTTGGCCAGGCTGATCTCGAACTCCTGACCTCAGGTGATCCACCCACCTCAGCCTCCCAAAGTGCTGGGATTACAGAAGTGAGCCACTGCACCCGGTCACATTGGTCTTTAATCTTCAACATCAGCCTGCTTAATGTTCACTGCACGGTGCCTCCACCCATGCCTTTGTTCATGCTATGCCTCCTGCCTGGAATGCCCTCTTTTCCCTCTTCCATCTTTTGCTTTCCTTTGCCTGATAACTCCCACTCATCCTTTAGGATGTAAAGGAAGATCGTTTAAGTGGATGATTCCTGGAGATCCTTTTAGTCCTAACATTTCATGATTCTAATGCCAAGTCTTGATATTCAAGGCCCTCTGGATACTGTGGTCACCTTCTTTCTCCTTAGGACCCTGCAAAGGTCTTTAGGGATCCTGTAGTCCAATTCTACCATTTTACAGACAGAAAATTGGATGCCCAGAGAGGGAAGAGGACTAGCCCAAGTTCACACAGCAAGTCAATGGTAGAGCCATGGCAAGAAGTGGGCACCTGCTTCCCAGCTCAGGGCTCTTTTTTGCACTACATCTTCCAACCTGATCCCCCTCTGCCAACATGGATATTCTCACCACAACCATCACTACTTCACTCAAACTTACCTGCTCTCACCAGAGCCATACTCACACCTTGCCTGCCTTTGCCGAAGATGTTGCCAGGCTGTTCCCTCAACTCCACTCAACTTTCAGGGTCCTCTATCTCCAAGAAGCCTACCTTCATTATCAGGCCAAAACCCTCCACACCCACTCTTACACACCCTTCCCCAAACCACCCATGTTTGTCGGAGCCCAGCAACTAGGGCTTGTTTCACTCACATGCGGTCAGTGTCTCGTTCAGTTTCACCAGGCAGGATGTCCACTCAAGGCTGGCTGGTGTCTCTTCATCTTCTTTCTTCTCCTCCCTTTACATCTCCCAGCTCGATACACAACTGCTCAGGGTAGCAAAGTATAGCCAAAAACAGCACTGTGTCAGAGGTCAGACAGATGGAGGTTCAAATCCCAGCTCTGTATGCCCTGCAGGGTTGACCTTCAGTCATCTGAGCCTCAACCTTCCTTATCTGTAAAATAGGTCCTACCACCCAGGGTTGCTATGAGGACTGAATGAGCTCACCCATATTACAGGCGTAGCATATGGTGGGCCCTTAATAAATGAGAGCGCCCTTCTCCACTGCCTTTCTCACTGAAGCCCAGGACACTTGGAGAAATTGACTCCTCTGGGCTGGAAGAGGGGCAGCCTCATGAATACTTTCTCTCACTCTCATCCTCAACAGGCTATGAGCAGCCTGCATGCAGAAACGTGGGGTGTTTCCAACCCCCTTCCCCACCCCCAACAATCTGCTTTAACCTTCCCATCACAAACGCCTTGTTTATTTCAATATCACCCGTTTTACTTTTCCGTTCACGCAAGAAAAAAAAAATTACAAAAACAGATTTAAGAGGAAAAAAAGTATTTAATGAGTAAAACTGTCTGTAGCTCTGTTTCTTTCTCAGGAAAAAGTGGCTGTGATTCTGGCATAAGAGAGGGAAGCTCAACAGCTTCACTTCATTGCAGCTGCCAGGAGAAGCACATTTCAGAGTGGAACAGAATCTCCAAATTAAACAGCGCGTCTTCCAGCCAGGAGCTTCCTGTGCCGAATTCAGCTTGGCAGGTGACATCCCAGCTCAAGCAGAGATCCAGCCCCAATGTGAGCAGCTGCAAGGCTCCCTCCTCTTGCCCCGCCTCCAGCATAGGAGAACCAGCCTGGCCAGGCCCTGGCGAGCCACTGACCACCGGGCAAAGGGCGCTCAAGAAGGGAAGGAGACAGCTGGAAAAGGAGTGGATACACCTGGCCAGTGGGAACTAGGGAACCAGGAGCTCTCCCTGTTCCAGAACATTCAGAAACCAGCACTTTCTGCTCCCTGGACTGAGGGTAATTGGGCATAAATAACAAATCCAAGACAGACTTCAAACAAAAACCCAGAGAATCTGCAGTGTCTTTCCCACCTTCAAAGGTGTCATTTTGGAGGCTGCTCTGGATGGAATCCAAGGGTCAAACTCCGGAAGGACTCTGCCTCCCCTAAGAACTTGAAAAGAAAGGGAAAGAACTGGAAAAACAGAAAATAGCACATGACCTTCAAATATGTACAGTAGAAACTGCCCCAGGGCAGAGTGTGAACTGAGGCTAGAGAGAGGCCCCCCTCCCTTGTCCCAAACAACATATTTCTATCAATGTAGCCTACCGACTCATACTGAACTTACTGGCACTTGAGCTTCTAAATCCTTCTCTTGAGCTGCCCATCCTTCTACAATTTTTCCTGTAGTCAAGATGGGCCTCAGCATTTTTCCCTGTGATATTTCTTCATGCTAAATTCACCTTGCCACGCCAGCCTGTCAAGATCTTTCTAAATCCTGATTCTGCTGAGATTTTCTCTGTCCCTTGGAGCTTTCTACCACCTCCAACTTTTATAGGCCTGCACCCTCCATGTCTTCTTACAGGTCCTTGGCATAGACTGATCAAAGCAGGGTGGACAGTCCCATGGCAGTGTCTAGAGGCCTTTTGTAGACTGACCTGGTTACACTTACGTGAACATTTCATGGCTGTTGTTTGGCCCAATGGGAGCCCCCTTTGTGCCCTCTCAGACATCCTTCATGTCCTCAAGAGCCACGAGGGACTCTACCCAGCGTCTTAGGAGACAGTATGATATGGCAGAAAGGGTTAGACAGATCCAGATTTGAATCCTAGCTCCAACCACCTTGGGCAAGTCACTTCCCGGAGACTCAGTTTCTCATCAGTAAAATGGAGATTGTCACGTCTTGTTTAATCCACAGCTCGTGAGGATTAAATAAAACCATATGCATGAAGTGTCCAGCACACAATTGGTGCTCAATAAATCACAGATTCCTCTCCACCCATGCCGGCTCGTTTTCTTTACCCACGAGTCATTAAGCTGTCAAGAACCTAAGAGCTGTGCCCGGTCTTGGTGAACCCATGTTGGCTCCAGGGATCACTGCCTTCTTTTATATGTCACAGATCTCACCATCCATATTAGACCCTCATACTAATTTGAGATTGGCCAAAACCCTGGATCTTTTTTGTCTGAATTCCTGTCAAGACAGTCCTTCCTTCCTGGACCTGTACAGCTTTTTAAATAACAAGAATAACAGTAGTAATGACAACTTGATCCTTCCAATCTCACCATGAGATTTTTTTTTTTTTTTGAAAGTATCTGCATTGTGCCTAGGAGGAAACTGAGGTTCAGAGAGGTTACATAACCCTCCCAAGGTCACACAGCTGGAGAGTTGAAAGCTGAGTGCAGCTGTCTGACCCTGACCATCACACTCATGTATTAGAGAGTATTTCCTAAATGCTGGCCTAAGGGGGCATGTCGCCTCTGGCCTTGCTGCATGTGTCTTTCAGCCTCTGCCCAAAGTTTCACTTGGTTGAGTGCCTTCTAGGTCCTGACACTGTCGTCCACAGGGTGGCCTCCCCTCACCCCACCTCCCAGCCGCTCTGTGCCCACCACCTTCACATTAAACGAGACTGGACTAAGGCGCAGACCCCACCACTCCCTGAAGACTGAAACAGTGGGCTTTTCATGTTGGCCCCCAAGCCCACATCACACCCTAAACTCTTTGATGCCTGGGCCCCTGATGCCCCCACAGCCTAAGCATAGGGCCAGCTTGGACCCTCTTTTCCAACCCTTCATCAGGGCTTGGCCACCTGCCACCAAACCCTGATGCCTCTGAACTGACCACTGCCTCCAAATCCCTGGTGCCAGGATTACCCCCTGCCCAAGTGGCACCCCAAGACCCCTCTTCCCAGACTGTCCAGGTGCTGAGGCCAGCTGCTGCCCATGTGGCTGTCCTCCAACACTGACTATAGCCTTTGCCCTTCTCCTGATGCCTCCCAGCCCAGAGCTCAGACTGTGCTGCAGGGTGAGGGAGTTCTCTAAGCATGAGGCCCAGATGTGCCCATGGGAAAAGGAAGGGGTGGACCCAGGAGGCTGCCAGGGACGGGGCTCAGGTTTGCAGCCACCAGGTTTGCAGCCCATCAAGGAAAAGATTCCTAGAGATTCCTAGGGAAGCCATTCATGGGTCTGTTGGCAAACCTTTGAGCAATACCCAAGCAGGATACCCCAAACCTGACAGGCTCTATCAGAGACTTGCCCTTGGGCCTCAAAGGACATAGTTACCCACATCATCAAACACAGTCACCCACATCATTAAAAATGCAGTCCTGACTGGGCATGGTGGTTCGCGCCTATAATCCCAGCACTTTGGAATGCCAAGGTGGGTGGATCACTTGAGCTCATTAGGAGCTCAAGACCAGACTGGGCAATGTGGCAAAACCCCATCTCTACCAAAAAATACAAAAAAAATTAGCCAGGTGTGGTGACTCACACCTATAATTCCAGCTACTAGGGAGACTGGGGTGGGAGAATGACTTGAGCCCAGGGAGGCGGAGGTTGCAGTGAGCAGAGATTGTGCCACTGCACTCCAGCCTGGGTGACAGAGTGAGATCCCATCTCAAAAAAAAAAAAAAGAAAGAAACATGCAGTCCTTGACCCTTCACTATCACACACCCACCAACACACTTTATAAACACATTCACACAAAATACTTCAAAAGCCCACTCATGCCCTCATGACACACAGAATCCCATCCATCCACTCAGTAAATATCGATTACGCACTTGCCAGTTACCAGGCACTGTTCCAGGCACCCGGAAGACATCAGTGGACAAACTGAACAAAGGTTCCACTCTTTGCTTGGGCTTTCATTCTAACAGGGATACTAACAACTTTAAAAACTTAGGATAGTACATAACAAATAAACAAAGCTAGGCGTGCTGGCTCACGCCTGTAATCCCAGCACTTTGGGAGGCTAAGGCGGGTGGATCAACTGAGGTCAGGAGCTCAAGACCAGCCTGGCCAACATGGTAAACCCCATCTCTACTAAAATAGAAAAATTAGCTGGGCTTGGTGGTGTGCGTCTGTAATCCCAGCTACTCGGGAGGCTGAGGCAGGAGAATTGCTTGAACCCAGGAGGCGGAGGTTGTAGTGAGCTGAGATCGCACCACTGCACTCCAGTCTGAGTGACACAGCGCGACTCCCACTCAAAAAATAAAAATAAAAAGTAAATGACAATTAGTAAATCACTTGGTATACTGGAAGGTAATTTAAAAAAGAAAAATGAGAACAACATAAGAACTGGAGAGCTGTGGGGAGGGGCGGGCAGAATTTTTTTTTTTTTTTTTTTGAGATGGAGTCTCACTCTGTCGCGCAGGCTGGAGTGCAGTGGCACGATCTCTGCTCACTGCAACCTCCGCCTCCCGGGTTCACGCCATTCTCCTGCCTCAGCCTCCTGAGTAGCTGGGACTACAGGCACCCGCCACCACGCCTGGCTAATTTTCTTTTTGTATTTTTAGTAGAAACGGGGTATCACCATGTTAGCCAGGATGGTCTCAATCTCCTAACCTCGTGATCTGCCAGGGCGGGCAGAAATTTTAAGTGGAGTGATCAACACTGATTCAGAGAGTGACACTTAAGGGAACTCTTGAAGGAGATGATTAAGTTATTCATTCATTCATTCAATGAATGTCCTTGGACATCTGCTACACCACCATGTGCCAGGGACTGTTCTAATCATGGGAATACAGCCATGAACAAAACAGGTAAAACTCCTGCCTTCATGGGGTTTACATTCTAGCTTTCAGGAGAGAAACCATAAACAAAGAAATAACTATTAATACACAGTGTGTCCAATGGTGATCAATGTTATGGAGAAGATGAAAGCAGAGAAGTAAGAACGGGGAGCCTCCCGTATCCACCCTCATAAACCCTCCCACTAGGCAAACACACACCTGCAGTTCACCTCCCAAGCTCACTGTCACACACGCTCACCCCGGACTCTACACGGACTCACAATACAAACACAGGTGCATGGCATCCTCGCTGCTCTAAGTACACTCACCTGAACACACAAATACGCCCACATGCAGACAAAAACACATGCACAAACATACCTACAACACATCGACACATGAACATGCACACAAACATACCCAGCGTCAACACGCAAATGCTCGCCAAACACACACGCACACCCCAAGCCCAGCTCATTCAAGCCTTGGAGAAACACACCCTCAAGGTCACACAGAGAAACTAGACAGTCAGAACTGGCAGATGCCTGGGGAACCAGCAGAAGCTGGAGCCCGGAGAAAAGCAACAGCTTGCCCGAGGCCCACAGCATGACAGTGGTGCTGTGGACACCAGTCTGGTCCTGAGTCTGGGCATGGCGGTAGCACTGTGGACACCAGTCCCATCCTGAGTCCAGTCCCAAGGCCAGCACGATGCAGCACTGTCCATAGACTATCAACCTCAGCACTCAACAAAGACACTCACACTTGCAAAACACTTACAGATACACACACACGCTTGCACACAAGGACACACACAGAAGCACACACCTTCATGCAACAGCACGAACCTCATTCCTCCCCCATGTAACAAGGCAGGGTGAGGTCTAGAGAGTTTCTTGCAATTTCAGCATCCCTTGTCCACTTCACCATCTTCCACCCACCCCATACATCACAGCCATTCTAGCCACTGATAAATTTTCCTCCTGCCCTTACCTGTGGCCGTGAGCTGTTTGCACATGCAGATGCATCGTGCATGATTGCGTGCATGTGTGGTGTGGAAATGGGTGGACATGTTTGTAAGTATTTAAGTTTGCAGTGGGTGAACACCCTTACGTGTGTATGCAAGTGTGTGTGCACCTATGTGTATATGCATGTTCTCAGGAAGGAAGAGATTTACAATCTAAATCCTGTTTCTCCAGGGGATGAAATAAAGCAAAGTTCAGCTTTAAATCACACCACCGTGGGCAGGAGAGGTTCCCCTGCCCTACTTGATTATCTGCCGGTGTGCAGCGGGACTGGCTGGCAGGCAGGAGGCGGCGAGCAGCCCATCAGCAGGGAGCCATTTGTTGTCTCCAGGCCCCTGGGACCTGTTGTGGCTGCTCCAGGAGTGGGAGACGAGAGCACGAGAGCACGGCGACAGCAACAAGCACACGCCCATCCCAGGTGCTGGGGGATGGAGGAGGAAGGGCCCTGGCTTCCAGCTCTGGCCTCCTTGTGCTGTAAGGAAAGCAAAGGGAGAAGAGAAAGGACTCCCCAGGCCAGAGAGAAGCCCAGGCACTTCTTGGCCTGGAAGGAGGGAGAGGGTCCAGGCAAGAGGTGGCACGGGCCCCACGGTGGGCCCTGCCCTGCCAACCTCTTCACTGGCCAGAAAGGCATCCACAGGACTCCAGGCAGTCGGAGCCTTAAGCAGCTTGACCTTGCCTCTGACTTCTTTCTCCTAGAACACAGTCTCTTCCTCACACCGCCCCCATCTCTCTCTCTCTCTCTCTCTCTCTCTCTCTCTGTTTCTGTGGGTTTGCTCTTTGTCTCTCCCTATCTCTCTGTCTCTATGATTCTTTCACCTCTCTGTGTCTGATTGTTTGGCCTTGTCTCTCTCTCTGTCCATTTCACTCTCTTCTTTTCAAGTTCCTCTGTCAGCCTGGACCTCAGCACCTCCCTCTGCCAACCCTGTCACCTGCGGCCTTGCTTCTGACACACCAGATACCTTCCAAGTATTTTATCCCATTGGAGCCTCTTACCACTCCTTTGGGACAGTCTAGGAGGGCTGAGATTAGAAATCCCATTTTACAGATGAGGAAACTGAGTGTCCAAAGCTTACCCAGGGTCACATAGCTGACACAGGATTAAAAATCCAGGCAGTGGCTCACGCCTATAATCCCAGCACTTTGGGAGGCTGAGGTGGGCAGCTCATGTGAGGCCAGGAGTTTGAGACCAGCCTGGCCAACATGGCGAAACCACATCTATACTAAAAATGCAAAAATTAGCCAGGCATGGTGGTGTGCGCCTGTATTCCCAGCTACTCAGGAGGCTGAGGCAGGAGAATCGCTAAAACCGGGAGGCAGAGGTTGCAGTGACCTGAGATGGTATCACTGCACTCCAGCCTGGGCGACAGAGTGAGACTCCATCTCAAAAATAAATAAATAAATAAATAAATAAATAAATAAATAAATAAATAAAAATAAATAAAAATCCAGGTCTTTCTACTGCACGACCAGCTCCCCATAACTCCATATCACCTAGAAGCATGAGCAGTTCTCCCCAGTACCCCACACCTCGAGAGATTTAAGAACCCAGTGGCATAAATCAGCGCATTCCATGCCAGCCCAACCACTTAAACTGCCATCAGTTAAGGAAAGGTCCCGGAAAACAATAACAGCTGAGATGAGAGGCATGGAGACTCTGTTTCTCTGTGTGTCCCAAAGATGCTCCATGCCAGCCCCCTCACCCCCAACGTCTGAAGTGCATGTACCTCCCACAGTCCCCAGGCCCACCTGGGATGAACAGACTTCTCGCCTCTTGAGTAGGTGCCTCCTGAGGCCTCCATCTTCCCATCTGTACAATGGAGTGATGGGTCTGGCTCACACTGCTGAGTTGGGTTCCTGCTCCAACACTCGCGGCAGCGTCTCCCCCTCTGCAGGCCTCCCCCTAATCCCTAAAAGGCCTTAGATTTTGGCCACCAAGAGCCCTCAGACACCTCTGGAGGACTGCTGTGGTTCTCTGGGCCTGAACTCACTTTGGCCACACAGGCAGCTGGGTGGCAACCGTGAAACTACAGGCCCAGAGGCAGAGTCCCATCTGCAGCAACATCCAGCCACCTCCAGAAGCCTCCACCACTGCCTCCAGCCCCCACCCGAGAGGCGTCAGCACCAACGACCCGCCAGGGCCTGCCCATTTTCCTTTCTTTTCATTGCCGGCTCTGCGCACAGTTATAGAACCAGGTCTCCACAGAGTAATTTACTGGCAGAATCTCTCCCAGAATCCAGCTTGAAACCAAGCTGTAAAAACAGCTTCGAGTGTAAATAATTCATGCAGACAATATGACTTTTTTATGTAAATTCGGTGCATTAACCCTCTATTATAATGATGGACGACAGATAGGGGCGACGTTGCCTTGGTAAGAGCTAATGGATGGCCGCCATAAATTCACTGCACATTTTATTGTGTTGCTGGAAATTGTGCCTTCAGGCAATGCTGTTTACTTTTATGTAAAACTCTAGGTTCCCTAAATATTACAAATATTTTACATCCAGCTCCTCAGCATTTGGGCTCTGCCCACAAATCAAGCTTTCTCCATGTGAGTTGTAATTAAAGGTTTGTTGTTTTTTTTTCCCTGGGACAATTATCTTCAACTATAAAGAGAAATATTTTTCCCCTTTAGATGTTCCATCATTGACTTATTAACAAATCCTTTGAAGAAGGAGGCTGGAAGTGACTTGTGGTAGAACTTGGCAGGAGGTGGGTCCACAGGAGAAGGGGCTCTGTGGGTGCAAGAGCTTGGTGGCTGGCTTTCATGTCTGGCCGCCACTCCGTTTTATTTACACATATGATATTCTGGGCCTTCCTCCCCCCTCTTCCTTTCTATAATTCATGACCACTTTAGCAGGGTAATTCCTCTCACCACCTTTGCAAGAGATTGGTCCCTGGCAAACCCCCTCCTGGCCCAGCCTCCTCTGGGGATGCAGACGGCTGGGGCCTCAGGCCTGCGAGGGAAGGAAGTAGGGTCCTCACAGCTGGCTCCCATACACAAGCCGATTCATCCTTCCTTTGCCCCATGCCCATTCACATGGCCCAGGCCTCCTTGGACGGAAACTCAGAATTTCCTGCATTGATTCTCTTTCCATCCAAAATGTT